ATATATATGATAAATTAATTTGGTAATATGTGTGACTAAAATGCATCAAATTTTAATTGGTGTGTGCAGTTAAGAAAAGCTAAAAATGTGATTTTGCTGACTTAAACAACACAAAACAACCAAATTTTGAAATAACTAAAATATTACAACCAAATTTTGAAATAATTAAAATATCACAACTAAAATACCCATTACATGTATAATCACTCTTTTAAAGTTTAGGTTTTAGAGTTTAGTCTAGTAACTTAATTTTCTTATAATAAAATTATTTTATGGTGAAAACAATTTATAAAACTCATAATTCTTCTAGTATTTATTTTATGATTGGCATATTTTAAATTCTAAACTTGTAGATAATTTTATAAATTAATTTTTTTAATAATATATTTAGGTTTAAAGGATTTACAATAGGATTTACAAATATCTTAATTATTCTGATAATTATTTTGTAACTCACATGTTTAAAATTTAATTCTTTTAGACAATTTAATAAATAAAAAATTAGTTTTATAATGTAATTATATTTAGATAAAAACGATTTTAAAATCTTGTAATTATTATGGTAATTTTTTTAACTGACATATGTAAAAAAAATATAATTTGATAAATTAAATTATATATTATATTTTAGAGTTTATGATTTTAAGATTTAAGCAGAGTTTAGTTTAGAAGTTTAATTTTTTTTTATAATAGAATTATTTTATGGTGAAAACAATTTTAAAAACTCACAATTTTTCTATTATTTGTTTTATAACTGATATATTTTGAATTTGATAAATTAAATTATCTAAAATTTTTGGGTTTAGAGTTTAGGGATCTAGAGTTTAGTTTCGTAATATATTTTTTTTTAATATAAAATTATTTTATGGTGCAAAAGAATTTACAATAATTATTGAGTTTTTGTCCAACTATGGTTATTGGACAGAGTGATGATGGAGAAATATGTTTTATGATGAGTAGAAAAATGTAGAAAAAAATAATTTCATTAAACCAATCAATCTATAAAACATCCAAATTAAAGAAGAAGAAAAAATAGTATAAATTAAGCTATCATAATAGTGAAGCAACGGATAAACGCTAAAATTCATCAAACAAACATATGTGTGCCGAGAGAAGAGAATACACACAAAGAGAATACACACACAAAAAAACATGTAAACATAAGATAAACATGAGATAAAAACAAAAAATAAAATGAATAGAAAAATTTAATAAAAAATGAAAGAACAAGTAAGAAGAAAAAAAAGAAAAAAATTTATATATAAAAAAAAAATTATGCAAATCTATTTGTGTGATTATGGGTGTGATGGGGCATGATTCCATCAGTGTGACATAAAAGAGAAAATACATTAAAAAAAATGTGCATATAAGATAAACATGGAAATGTAGATGAAAATAAATTAAATGAATAGAAAAATTGAGAAAAAAAATTGTGGTAGCAAAAATTCTTTTTATTACCTCAGCTTTTATATATTACACAATATAAAGATGACTAATAATGTAAATTTAGTAATTTATATATATATATATATTAATTAGAATATAGTAGATTGGAACCTAATTAAGATGTTACAGAAAGCGGTGTAATTTAAACCTTCATACAGCTATTGTAGGCAGCTATATATGTTGTTACAGCTACACAATTAATGAGACGATTATCTTATGCCCAAATTATTTAGGACCTAAAATTTCCACAATTATTTAATGATAAATTTTTTTATGATGTGATATGCACTATTATTTTTTAAGCATGTAAATGAAAATAAATTTGTTGATCAAAAGTATATTTTTAGGATTATTTGACGGAGAACATTTTATAAAAAAATTATTTTAATAAAATTATTTTTAAAGAATAGAGATTCTTTTAACTCTTTATTTCTTTTAATATATCATTTTTATCTTTATTTTTAATTTAAATTGTATTTCAATATATTTTTTAAAATATTATTTTTATCACAATATAAATTAGTTATTATAAATCTAAAATATAATTCATATGTTGAAAAATATTTATTTATTATAAAATGAAATTACGACATAATTTATTTTTTCAAATTTTTTTATTATAAAAATATGAATTATAATAAGTTTAAATTGTCGTTGTATACTGTTATGAAGCGGTTATAAGAAATAATTAATACCTTCCGTCTTTTTTATATATAAAGAATATTATGTTATTTTTATAAAAAGGATTAGAGGTAATATGAATTTGTTAAAATGAAAATTAAATTAAGAATTTGTGTAGTGATGCAATGCAAGTGCAATCTTCGTTGGTGACTCTGATGCATCTGCTCTGCACCTAACAGTATGTCTTTTACCCCTCCATTTAATCCTGCTTTTGGTCTACAAATACAATTCATTTTTAACACATAATTATTATAAAATTAATTCATTTATTATGTATGTTAACTCATAATTGGAAGATAACGTAATTTATTTTATATTATTAATATATTAATTTTTCATATAAAAAATGTTGTTTAGAAATATTTCAAAAGTGATTTATTATAAAATATAGTTTTATGTAATAAATATTATTTTTATTGTAATTATTATCAAATTAATATATTTATCATATATTAAAAATTTTAATTTAATTTGTTTTATATTATAATTTTATAGACCATTTTTTCTTCGTTATAACTTGGGAAAATAATTTAAAATTTGTTTCTTTAAATATCTATTCCAATTATGGAGTGATCCCCAAACAAAAAAGGATTGGAGTTGGAATGGACAATGGAATTGGAGGGGTCTGAAGCATCTTGAAAATTGTGATCATCTGTCATCAACACTATTTATTCATGTGGACCCTTCATCCCAGCAACCCTAACCTCATTCAACTTAAGACTGAATAAATCTTTATTATTACGTAACATATTGGTAAAACGTGCTCATTCATTTCTTTCTCATTATAGTTTCTATGTCTTGAATATATACTGTAATAGTTACATTTGAAGTATATATCCACTGTATTAACTAGTGACTTGGAGTTGTTTAATTTTGATCCTAATGTATATCATCATTCAACGTTTATTTGATTAACGAAAAACATTCTCTTCTTTAAGTGCATGATAGGTCTGGAGTAGTTCTGAACAAATTGCAAAAAGTGAAAAGAAATAGAGAATAATTTTGTCTAAGACAAAAAGTAGAAAGAAAAGCAAGAAAGGAAAAGTAATATCCATGCAGAATTACTAGAACAAGAGACAACATAGATAAAAACAAATTGTAAAGATGGATAAAGCCTTAAATGTGGTGTAGAGTCTGGAATAAAGGCAAGGATAATAAAAGAATAAAGCTATTTGGATGATCATAAACAAATAAATATATGATGAAAAAGGAGAATCCTTTTCCTACTTCCCAGTAGAATATGTAAACAACAGCTTTACAGACTTACCGTGACGTACTGGTAACTTTTTCATCGCTGTTAAAAATATTTTCTCATCTATACACTACTGTATTAAAATTATACAGTGTGTTAACTTATTTCACATTCACTAGCAATCTTTTCATTAAAAATTAATAAAATTTACATGTACAAATTCGTGACACCGTGAAGGATCTTATATATAATCTATAATCGTTAAATAATTTGGTATTTAAAGATTTTTTTTAATATTTCTTTTAATAAATAAAAATCATTAAAAAAAACTACGGTGAAGCAATATTAATAACATTCAATGTTAGATTTATGGATCATAAAATTAGTTATTACTACTTAAGCTAAAAAGAGTTATCAATAGATTTGAGTGAAGATTAATGGATGACCAAATTTATAATATTGACAAGATGAAGCATCCTTTACCATGGTGTCTGTCTGGTTATGTTTCTCTCTCACATGTGATAAATCTGAATGGAATTCAATGCTGTTTGTATTCCAAAGGAACATCATTGACATGTTGAGCGAACTATTTATTGACACAACACCACAAGCAAATATATACACAAGAAATAATAATGTGTTATAAATAAAATTAAAGCATATATTTCCCTAAGGAGTAATGCTGGCGCGTGAAGGAAGAATAGCACTAACGACCATTCTAAGTTCAGCATAAGACCTAATTAACACCTCTGCTCGGCATAGTACTGCATTTAACTTTTGCATGGTATCATCACCAACTTTAATTATTTCGCATATTTTTCCCTTCATGAGCTCTACCCAAACACCTTTTGGATGGTTAAGGTATTAATTAAACTTCGAGACATACATAAGTCATATTTTAATGATGAATGGTGGAACATAACTCAAGTTAGGTCTTGTAAAAACGATTGGAGAAGCCAGTTATCAAAAGGACACACATTCAATAACAAGAGAGAAAACATGTACACATCATGCTTTTCTAATTTTACTTTTACTCTTCCTTCTGAGAATATACGAGAGAGAGAGAGAGAGACACCAAAAATTGTTAAAACAACTCGATATATTTGTGAAGCTTTCATCATGTAAGGAACGTACAAACATAGAAAGGGTAAATACTGTTTTTTGATTTTTAAGATAATTAATTTCCTCATCTGTCCTCTACTTTTATAATTAAGAAAAAATAATACTACCATTAAGTGAGGCAATGATGAATTCGTAGTTTTTATTTTCTCCTCCTACTCATCTAACACATTTAATTAGTTTAGTATTTGTAGTAAAAAGTTAAGCTAACACGAGAAGGGAGTTGGGTAGTTTAAGTGGAGACATTTATATTTGAATAGAATTGAATTATTGAAAAAGAAACAAACATGTTCTCCTGAGTATTATGCAGGACTAAAATGTTGTTTTTGAAGTTAATGATTCTCTAACAACTTGATGGAAATATTTATGGTCATGTTTCAGTTTGTCCCCCATTTTGTTATTCTATTTAGTTTAGTGGGTTTGCTTAATGAGTTCACGGTTTAGGTGGGAAGAGGATGAATAAATTAATAAATTATGAAGAAGAAGAAAATAGTGAGAGGGCGGCATGTATGTATGTAAAGAAGGGAAGTTTATGTTATTTACTTTGAAAGAACGTTTGTTTGAGTTAATTCAATTTGAGAAAGGTTCTGTTTCTCTCTCTCTCTCTATCTGCCATCTTTTGTCCTCACCACTATCTGACACACTGCTCCCCTCTATATGGCGTAAACTCGATAGCTGATAGTGCAAGCAAAGCAAGCACCCCACTTTTTTTTTTTTGTTCTCTAATCTGAGTCTCCCTCTCTAAAACTCCACTGTGTATTCCTCTTTCTCTGTTAAAATCTGCTTTTTTTGGCCTCTCCTTTTTTGTCCTCCCACACCACCTCTATAAGCACCTCCTGTTTAGTGCTTCACTACCAAAACCCACCTCCATAACTCTCTTCTCTCTCTCTCTCTACCATTGCCTCGTATTACTCTAATTCTTCTCTTCTAAACCAAATCACTTCCTTTTCTTTTCTTCTAACCAACCATGAATGCAACACAACACAAGGTGTTTGATCTCGCCACTTCAAGTCCTTTTCATGTCACTTTGCTCTTCATCTCCAATTGAGACAACTACAAGGTTTGGTTTGTTTGTAGCTGTCTCCATTGATTATCTTCTCGCCGAGACATAGAGACTGTTATTTGTCTCTCTCTTTCTCTCTCTCTCTCTGTGTCTCCTTTTGAAGAGATAGAAATTAGAAAATACCCAGAGTGGGAAAGTGTCTTGTTTGCTTAAAAAGTTGTCTTCTCATGACCATATCCTGTGTGTGTGCCCTACTTCTGAGTCTCACTTTCTCATCTTAATTCACCTGAAGATAATGAGGTGGTAGTTAGTGCCGCTTCTCAACTCAATTGCGTCCAACACCTAGCTAGCTTCATCATATCAAAACGTTTTCATGCGTTGCTAGCCAGCTTTTCAAACATCACGCGAGTTGATAATTACTTATTACTCCTAGCTAGCTAGTCCTAGGATTTGAAGGTGAAACTTAGAATTGCAATCATTTTGGCACTACTAGCCTATACTATATACACACATATTTTCCTCCTTTGTTTCTTTTTTGGCCTCCAAAGGTAGCTAGGAATGGAACTCTCGAGTCAAGAAGGAGAAATCCCAATCCCAATCCCAATAAGCAGCACTACATATGGTGGGGGACATGGTAATGGACATGGTCATGGACTCATGATTCACCATGACCCTCCACACCACAACCACATTATATCCTCCACAGCACCTTCAAATGGCACACCTACTATGCAGGAGGATCATGTGTACAAGAAAGTGGTGAGATACAGAGAATGCCTGAAGAACCATGCAGCTTCCATGGGGGGGAATGCCACTGATGGGTGTGGTGAGTTCATGCCAAGTGGAGAAGAGGGCACCATAGAGGCTCTCAACTGCTCAGCCTGCCATTGCCACAGAAACTTCCACAGAAAGGAAGTGGAGGGAGAGCCCTCTTCATGTGACTTCCACCCCTTCAGCATGAGTGGAAGGAGGCTCATTCTAGGCCCTCACAAGAACCTTCTCCCTCCTGAGGCTCTAGGGTACCCTACAGGTAACATCCTCCCTTCCAGAAGTGTGCCACCTCACCAGATGATAATGCCCTACAACATAGGACACCTGCCCTCAGAGTCTGACGAGCAAGAAGAGGGCGGTGGAGGAATGGTGCAGGCTAGACCATCCTCCCAGATGGTGAAGAAAAGGTTCAGGACAAAGTTCAGCCAGGAGCAGAAGGACAAAATGCTAAACTTTGCTGAGAAGGTGGGGTGGAAAATCCAGAAGCAAGAGGAGTCTGTGGTGCAACAGTTCTGCCAAGAGATTGGGGTTAAGAGAAGAGTGCTCAAGGTTTGGATGCACAACAATAAGCACAATCTTGCCAAAAAGAATCCCCCAACTGCGCCACCACCTTAAAAGTACAATAATTCTAAATTTCTAATTAATTATCTACCTTTCTAAACTCCGTTCCATTCCCCTCTACGTATAATTATTAGCCAGCCGCAAGTGTTTCTTGACTTTCTTCATCTCTAATCATCATCATCATCATCTGTTTCACTTCTCTTTGCCTAAAAATAAACCCCTCTAGTTCTAGTATCTAGTTACCAATTATATATATACATATATCACCACGTGTTGTAGTTAGGAAATTGCATCTGCATTGCGTGAATTAAGTTTTAGTTTCTGAGTGGTGTTTAATTCTGGATCTCCTCGAGCTACCTAGCTAGCATTCAAGTGATGGAATCTATGCAATGAATAGAGTCTGAGGTACTACATGTATTAATAGAATTACATAGGGCTTTTGTATGCTAGCTACTTTCTCTTTCACCTTACAATTTCTGCTTCTGCTTTTGTTATGCTGCATCATATGTAGGACCTTCTGACATCATTTTTCAAGCGCCATGAAAATTGTATGTTTGTCATTAATTTTAAAATGATTTTTTTCCTCCAAATAGTCTATTTTTTAGCATAAGTATTAGAAAAATTAATTAATAAACTCAAAGGAAGAATCGAATATACATTCAAAAGAAAAAGAAAAAAGAATGCGAAACCAGCTTTGCTTTGAATTTTTGTCTTCACCTCTAAAGTTTGTATTCTATATGTCTGAACCTGCGCTGCGTACATATATGTCATAGCCGTGCGTGGCGGAAGGAAGCTATTTTTTTTTTAATGATAAAGGAAGCTATTTGATATTCTACTTTTTGCACTCAAACTTCAATTCAGTACTAGACCTTGCATTACTAACTTATTTCATATTATTAAAAAATCATATTAATTTAAAAATGGTTAGGGTTACGAAGAAGCCATTAATCTCGTAAACTTTTCAACAATTTCATCGTGAGCAAAATAAATTTCCTAACATTTTTTTAATCAAAATATTGTTTTGAGATCTCACCACTTGACTATAGACTAAATTATGTTATCCTCTCATGAGAGATGAGAATATTAAATTATCATTTTTATATTAAAATATATAATTTTATTTATTTAACTTGATTCTGTTAATGTAAATTATTTTTTTTTCTTAGAGATTTAAGTATTACATTATCTATCTTCTTAATGATAAAATATAAAATAAATTACACATTTATCTTTTAAAAATATAAATACTATATTATCACTTTTCTATTCTATTAACTTAACATCATTAAAAATAATTAATTTTAACTAAAATATATTTTAAAATACTACAAATATATTTATCGCATTAAATTAATAATAAATAATACATATTTTAGTATTTAATATATATATATATATAATTAATACTATAATAAAAATATTATTCTATTCTATTTAAATATTAAAAAAAGTATTACATTAACTACATTAATTTAATAACATCAATTTTATTATTTACATAAATATATTATTTTTATTTTGATATATAAATTTGAAAATATCTTGTAAAAATAATAATAATAAATTTATTTTTTTTGATAAGCAAAAAAATGTAATATTAAAAAAGGAGTACAAAGGGTACTCCAACTTATATACAAAGTTAAGTGCTGAATACATAACTCATTTAACCAATTTATGTATACTAGTTGTCCCTCATTTAAACTCGCTGTCAACTATTTCCATGACTTATATTTGATAGCATCTATAATTTCCATGATTTATATTTGATAGCATCTATATCTTACAAAATAATAAAAATATTTTGTAAGATATATAGTTAATTTTATAAAATTCATAATAATTTTTAAAATAATAATTAAATATGTAAACCAAGAGATAAATTGTTAAAGTATAACATACCTGAATTTGTTAAGGGAGAATATTGTGATATTTATATTTATGAAGAAATGTTTGTGTAAAGGATGTTTTGATAATAAATTCTTTTATAACATCGATTAACGAAACTTAAAAAAAATTACAAAAGTTAATAAAATATCATATGTTGAAATTTGTTGAGAAAGGAGACTATAAATTTTATTATAAGATAAATAACAATATAATATTCATATCTCTTAAAAAAATAAGAGTACATTTTACTCTGAAATATATAATTAAGAACAATCTCTACTTTATAAATCAATGTTATAATATTAAATAAATCAATGTTATATATATATATAATAATAATGTAATTTGTTCATATTACACCCTTATACAAAACAAACTTTAAATGAATACACGTAATCACATCCAATAAATATAATAATATTTTAACGTAAAATTGAGAGAGACAAATATGTTGATATATATTAAATTTCATCGCATAAGAGATAGAAATTAAAATGTAAAAAATCTATGATTTTTTTAAAATAATTATGTAAGTTTAAAATATTTTTCTAGGCTGTAACTATTTATGAATAGTTATATATGTTTAAAACTTATTTTAGTCGTTTTTATATAAAAATGTTAGCATAATATTATATCATCATATGTTTAACGTGTTGCTCAGTGTTAAGTAATGAAAGATGTGAAAGACTGTGAGAGCGTGACGTGGAGGCAACATGAGATATGGTCAGTTGTTATTTTTATTTTCACATCACTGTTTTAAAGCTTTGTCTAAAATTAATCTAATTTAATCCGAACATTCTTAAACAATTCAATTTTATATTAACTAATTGTATTCAACTCTCTAATTAATCAATTATTTTATGTAGTTATATTATTATATTATGACTTATATATATATATATATAATTTTACATATACTTCTTATATGTATATAATATATATAATTTAACCAATAAATTAAAAGATTTTTGTCCACTAATTTTTAAAGAGAATAATGTTCATTGCATTAAGTACAAACTTAGTTTGCTGTCATTGTCAGCTTATCTGTATGCACACAACAATAAAGATCTTATATTGTTTCTAAAAAATTAAAGAAATTTTGAAAAATGTATTTATACAAATAAAAGAAAGACGAAAATGTAAATACATAAAATATATTATATGATTTTGTTGTATAAATATAATATTTCAATTTCACGATCATGAATAATTCTTTAGCCATAGATAATTATACAAAACTTGCAAGCACGCCTTGCTTTGAAAAGGGGAAAAAAGAAGAATGGGGTCCACTACAGCAAGAAGAATCATAATCTTTTTAATCTAATTTTTAGATATTTATATTTTTGTTATTTAATTCATAATATTTTTTTATAAACTTACAATATGAAAAATGGTTAATTTTTTTCTTCTGAGTCGTGTTAATTATTTTAAAGACATCGATTTAAAAGATTTAGTTTTTACTTATTAAATATATTCGGTAATAACTAAAATATTAGTTAATTATAAAAAAATATATAGTTATTTATTATTGCTTTAATTTTTTGGGGGTAGAATCCGAAAATAAAGCGTGAAAAGAAAAAAGGTGGTGTCTTTAATTCGTATCGGGATGCACATCACATCCTTCCATGCAGAAGCAGAAGCAGAATGTTGAATGGAAAGCACAGCACAGCAAACAGTGGAAAAGCAAAGAAAGCAACTTCACAAATTTCATCCATAACACAGCCATTGCTATTTCTTGTATTATGCTTCTATATTGAAATAAAATAAAATAAAATGAAGATGATCGTTTATTTTGTCAAACGGAAATCTTAACGTGCTTGCTATACATTTTTTTTGGTTAAAAAGCAAATCAAATTTTATTATAAAGAAAGAATACAATCAATTAAAATCTATTATTATTTTTTTAAGAATAAATTGCACTAGCACTATTGAGATTTCACATGGTTGCATAGAGCAAGCTGTTTTTTTAATGTCCAAACCAAAGCAACACCTCTAAAGAGTTAAGAGACATAGTGGAATATTTTCCAAATAAGAGAATTATTATAATGTTTTAAAAAATTAATGTATTATTATAAATAATTAAAAAATAAGAAATTTATCTGTAATTTCGCAAAAATAACCCCCTTTATTTTTAATGATTCAATCAATATACTTTTAAATTTGTAAAAAACGGCCTAATGCTATAATTTCTTAAGATATTCAAACTCTTTAATATAGTACTCCTTCTGTCCATGAACATGTAATATTTTATTTTGATTATCATTTTATAATATTAATAAAACACTAATATTTAATAAGCAATATTTGAAGTTTGAATCTTTGTAAATAAAAATAGTAATTGTCATAAGAGATCGTATTAATATATATATATATATATATAATGAATAAATTCATCTATTTTAAGAGTAACTCTTAATATAATATTTTCAATCAATAATTCAAAATCTACAACAAAATTTTAATAATTTTATCGTTAAATTAAAAGGTTTTCGATGAATACATATGCACGTTTTGCTTCAAATATGATAAATAATTTATGGTTTAATGACTTCTTTGACGTGCAGCTCTGAATTTTTAAGAATTATAAAAATATACAAATTACAAGGCATAAATTATGAACCTAAGAAACTATAATCACTTTTCTGTTATAATTAGAACAAAATAATTCACTTCAATTTGCAAATTATACATAAATGCCTTCTATTTTAATAGGAAATTATAATATATGAAACAATATGTAGTGGAAGACAACAATAGAAAACTATTTTTCAAAAAAATAATAAATCCAAACTTTTCAAAAAAATCAACGAAAATGGCATATGCATCAAGATACTCTTATCTAACAAATGGAAGGATCCTGTGATGTTAAAAGACATACAGGAAAATGTCTGAACCAAAATATGGTTGCTTAGGTAATAGGCAAGCTGTGAATTCAAAATACAAGATACAGTAAACGATTAAGCCCTACAGCACAATGTAAACCCACCCAGACATGGAAGAGATCGATAAAGAAACAGTATAAGATATCAAATTTTACAAACTTGATTCTTGATGGCTCATCAATTTACACTGTTCAAATAAGCAAGGAATCCATAAAAGAAAAGGGGGGAAGAGATAGAAAGGCACGTGAAAGAGATTACTCTAGGGCCACAGTAGAGTCGGGCCTTATCTCGTCATCTCCAAGGTTGGCAGCTTGAGTGGAAGAGTCCAGGTCCAAGCACAGAAGCCTATGGCAATACCTGGATTAACCATTAAAAACAATCTTTACCAAGTTCAGATAGATCTCAAAATCACTAGTGATATAACACATTTCATGATGATGATCACTACTCTAAAATTTTTATATAAAACAATTTAAACTATATTTATATAAGTGCTCCATTTATTTATTTGTATTAAAAAAAGTCATTTCTAATACAAATCTTAAACATTCAATTAAAGATGATGGTGTATGTTACACAAAAAAAGAGGAAGTTCAGAGTTCAGAACAGAGTATTAAGAGCTCCAGCATAGAAAAAAATTTGGTGGGTGGGGGCGGGACGATGTTGCCAAAAAATTACCACATAAGGGTGTCACACAGTAGATAGAAGCATGAGAAATTATATCTAGTTATAATGTGTAAGTTATAGAAAAGAGAAGGAGAATCTCAACTTTACCCATAAACCCCTCTAGCCACACTAGCACCACTATGACCATACTCCAAAAAGCATCCTTATTCAAACTCTGTATTCTGTAACATCCCACAGCTTCCCTGCATCACTATAGTGCATGATCAATAACTTCGTTAAAACCATGTTTTAAGCAATGGAAACATAGCCTTTATCAATCTAACGGTGGAACTTAGTATCAATCCACTTTATTTTGCTCCTTTTCATCAATGGAAAAATATAGCCTAAAGAAAATGGTACTGGTGTGTGCCTAAGGTGAAAAAAGTACAATGAAATTAAAGACTGAGGATAGATGTACAAGTTACAAACTGCTGACATGACTTGCACCGAGAGATTGATCAACAATCACTCATATGGTAAGAAACAGTAAATTGTGAAAAGCTAATATTCTGACTATATATTATAGTAGATGTGTTCCGGAGCTTATCATAGATAATGTAATGGCAGGTACAACATTCAGAACCTAGGAACCTGAATAGATAAATATATATAGGATGGGGAAAATTTAATAGAACAAAGGGAACTACTGTAATGTAAGTTTGAAAACATGTCAAATTTAGGGAATGACATACTCCAGCACTGCAGAGTGCAGAGTAGCTGGAATAGTAGTTTGGCTTAAGTAGATGCATTAGGGAGTCATGTAATCCAGATAAATAAATTAAAAACTAGTAGTATTAATTATGGAACAAAAAATTATTATTATTTGATATTGTTCTAGTTATTTAGGAGAAAAAAAGTGTTGAATCTGAAACTAGTTGGCGCAAACAGTTGAATGCATACTGAAATTGAGAAAGCAAAGCTGAAAATCATGGCTTTGATGGTGATAGTGTGAATTCTTTAGGGAGGAAAGGTCGGTGGAGAGAAATTTGCCTCCCGAATCTCAATCACCTCACATTCGTAATCATCTGGAACACCCCAAGGATCCCACTCTGCATGGCAATCCTCCAACAGTATAAGTAATTTTATAATCAGTTAATGCAAAACGTTTCCAAGATCGAGATTCGTGAATAGCGTACCGTTCATATAGGAAATGAGCCTCTTCGATGGCTTCACAATCATGCTCCTCCTGGCATACGTTCAGCCGCTCTCCACCGCCTTCAGGAACCTTCTCCATCTCCTTCAGCACCTCCCTCGCATTCGGCACCACCTCCAGTCCCACCATCCCTGTCCAAGCCTTCTTCACCTTCCCAAGGTTCCAATAAATATTTTTAAAAATATCAATTATATTGTAAAAAATAATTTATTTATTTATTTAAATAAACACTCCAATTGTTTGAATACAATGCATGAGTAACACATAGATTAAGTTCATACAATCAAAGTCCTTTGCTTTAAAATCATGTACTTATAAATTCTAGTCCGAACACACTTAGATTCCTTTTGCTTTGTGCTTCAAGGTGGAAAGTTTATAAGAAAAATAATTTGGACTGGCTTAATCTAACTTGTTGCACAATTAAAACTACAAGAATGCACCATGGAAATTGCACTGATATTTTATCGTTTATATATGCGCAAGTTTTTGAACTCGGCTCTACAACTGAAACTGAAAAGTTTATACTACAGAGTAATCCGTCCCCACTGCAAAAAGAATAAAGAACGAAACTATTAAGGGGAAGAAAAGAAAAAAAAAGCCACACATTGGTATTTTAAGTGGTCGTCATGCTAACAACTGCTATAACTAAATCAATCATGTTGCAGGCCATCCATTCAATAACATCCCGTGGAAGTTCACGTTCACTTGGCCTTTCTGAAGATCAAGGATGGTACGATTCCACTTGTGCATTGTATTGTATGTTCTCTTTGCTCGTTGGTGACTTCAACCTTCAGTTGCCTCACTCATTTCACATCCAGAGCAGTCCCAAGATCTTTGGCGTTTAAAACCCAGCAGCAGCCAGCTGAGAATATTAAAATATCATCTATTATCATGTTGAAACAGCCTAGCTCGACCAGGATTTAGAAGTGATTCGGACATCGTCCAACCCTGCAAGCAAATAGATTATATGAACTTGGCACTTGCAACATATATATGTGTACATGAACAAATGCTCATAAAATCTCAGACCATATAAATATTAAATAAGCCCTCAAATTTCAATTATTTACTGTGAGATTTGCATCGGTACATCCCAAATTCCCTATACACGGAACCAAATACCAAATTAACAAACACCCCTCACAAAATACAGCAATAAACTCTGATGAAAATGCGAATAAACCAGAATCTATACCTTAACCATCCAGCTCTCAAAATATAAAAAAAATAAAAGTATTTATTCTATCCTGGGAATTGCTTAATGATGTGTTTGGATGAGAAATTTTACAATTTCAAAGAATTTGAAATTCTTGATATTTGAATTATTTTGATTTCAATTTCTATCATTCTTAAAATGTTTTGTTTGGATAAGTCAATTTAAATTTTGAAATTTTAAATTGTTAGTTTGGATATGATAATTTGATTCTATCATAGTAAAATTGATTTTAAAAATATATTCATATGTTGAGATTTTTAAATTAAATTTATAAAAATAAATATTAGCCAATTTTAAATATTTAATAATTTCCTTACAAAAAAAAAACATATTTAATAATTTAAAAAATTAATATTAGATAATATTTAATAATTTTAAAAATAATTTTTGAATATTCTAATTAAAAACATAAAGAGATAAGAGATAAGATAATATATATATAAGTGAAATAAGAAAAATAAATAAAGAATTTCAAATTTTCACTTTTTTTTAAAGAATTTCACAATGGATTTTAAATTCTTTATAAATTTTCCATCCAAATAAAAAATTTCACTATAAGAAATTTGAAATCCTTCAAACAAAATAAATTATTCAATTTAAATTCTACATCCAAAGTGCAAACACACTATAAAGCAATTCAATGCTCATGGTATGGTCACCCATAAGAGGGCATCAAGCAAAAACTCGGAAGCCTGGGCACAATTTTTAGGATAGACAACTATGAGTTATATTGGTACATCTTCCCACCCGTCTCCCAGAAGAGGGAAAAATTACCTGACAAGGATCGCATAGGACAAATATAAGGCATACCGCATGTCCAAAAACTCAAATACCACAATAGCAACAATTACATGCCAAAGATAACATTCAAAGCAGGCCTAAAAAATATAGCAGTAATCAAGATGGAATGCAGAACCAACAAATAAATATTCTTGCTTAATTACCTGCTCCTTAGCTTTATTCTTGAAAAGCCCGTAAGAACTTGCCACAATCTTGCAAGTATCAGCTATACAAGACTCAATATCAGAAACTGTGTGCATCATGTTTGAGTTAACATCCTCCCTTTGCTTCAAAGATGAGGCCATACTTTCGTTGGATGATTTTAGGAAACTCAATAGCACATGAGCCTGCAAAATGAGGTTATTTAAGTTTGAAGTACTTTTCAAATTAAGAATGTCCCAGTCTGTTCTGATAAATTTGTAAGATAGCCATATATCTCACATGGAATGCTGCTTTCAGAATGTCATCCGACTTTGCCTGATCCTTGAGCACAGCATAAACCTTGTGTTTTGAGGGGTCATATGTTACAATATATCGCTCCCTCTGTTACCAATTTAAGAGAATATAAGAATGTATCATATAACAATATCGATCATAATAAATTAAGAGCTAAAAAATCTCAAGCTCTCAAAAAAGAGCTTACATCAAACAAGGGCTCTATGGCAACATATGCACTAGGGTCTTGGAATGCTTCCTTGATTCTTGATCCTTAAAAAACAATTAGAAAGAAAATTTCAGTTTTAATTTCAGACAAAATGGTTGTGGTGGAGAGGTAAAACTCTTTCAGTGCATTGATATACCAAGAACAACAGGCTTATCTTTCCACGGAAAATTGAATATGTCCTCATTCATATTGCCCTCCTCCAAAGTGGGAACTCGTCCTGAAATAAATTTAGTTGAAATGCGAATGAGGCATACAGTGGAAGAGTATCTCATGGTGCTTGTATAAATGAATTTGACTATACAAGAGAGAAAAGCCTCATCAATAAGAGCAGCATAAATTGACTATTTGATGATTTTTAAGAGGATGGACAGTCACATCTCTCTCTCTGCTAAGCTGCAATGTGAGATGCTAGTGCATTTACAGCAGTGTTATGATACCTGTCTTGAGGAATGAATCTACTGCCACACTGAATCTTGCGGAGTTAAGTGTGTGCAAAACCACAGATTTTACCTATTAATGCATTAAACATTAGATACATAATCACCAAATTGGATGTACAGCTAGATAAGCATCATCATTACATATATAAAAACAAACCTCTCTATAAGAGCTAAGGAGATATCCACAAGAAAGGAGGGAAAATGTGGTGACAAGTGACGGATTTCTTTTGGCAATCAATAAGCTCAAACCAGTTCCTAACTGCAAATTGAAAAAGAGATTTGGCATTTTCTTTCATCAAAAGGGGGAAAATATCAAAGGTAATGATTACTAACATGGATGAGATTTTAAAAGAAAAGGAAAAGAAAAAACTATAAATTTCGAAAAATATTATTGACACAAGCTTCAAGATCAAATCATTTTAGTGTCATACTATAATATTCATATTACCAGCTGTTTTTAATGTTCTTTTGGTTTCTTTACATCATAATTTAATAATTGCTACTTTTAGGTAATTTATATTTTCAGACACAGGCTTGGGCTTGAATTTTCAGTTCTTCGGGTATCAGCAGTCTAACCTTTAAGGTCCAATTTTTATTATTGAATTCAGTAGAATATTAAGATGTCTCAATTCTTGCAAGAGTAGGATTCTATTCCCAAACAGTTAAGGATGAAAAGACATGTGAAAATTGAACCCATGCAATTATTTTTTTCTAAGGGCGCAGTTTCATCATGTTAATTTTATACAGCCAAATTGCTCTTTTGGCTGAATAATGCAATTAAAGGATCAAACCTTGGGTATTATTTACCCCCAAGGAAACCAGGCACAAAGCTTAGGCTTGTTTTCTTCTTTTTGTTGTTTTATTTGGCAGACAACACTGGAAACTCATGCTTACATAACCATCGTTGTTCCTTGTTTGAATTTTCACGTACATCCATCAACCTTGAAATTTTTACTTATGATGACACTGTTCAGACTCAGAGATATAAACAGTCACTGATATGACTCCTAACATCCCCCCCTTCTTGCCTACAAATTGTCCTTGTCTTGAGATAAATACCACAGACCTGCAATCCAGTCCAGCATTTGTCTATGGTTCCACCTTTAATAAACATAATTTTGGCCATGAATCACTAGTTCCTTGCCGTATGCATCTATTAGCCTGGCCAAAATCAATCAGCTGGATTCTGGACCAATATTTTTGTATATTTTACTTCTATGCCATTATATATTAAATCAAAGCAATTAGTTCATAAGTCGTGATTTTCAAAGTATATAATGGTAATGACGCACACATGCAAGCATGTAGTTGATTGATTGGATGGCATGGCATAATAAGGATCGACATCAACCTCATTACCAGGTTTGGCCAGAGTTCAAAACTTGTCGTAAACAATGTCCCAACAAAACTATGCCAACAGTACAATTATAAGCAACTGTTGAAGCTCCAAAAAACATACCAGGTCCGCAATATTGCCAACACATTCTCCTTTAGCAGTGACATCCCCTATGTTTTCTCCTTTAGCAAAGGCTTTGTAAATGGGTGTCCGAGTAGATGTTGATGTTACAGCAGCAACATTCTGAGAGCAGAAATTAACAAATAAGGGTGCAGAAATGACATGTAACTGAATGACCCACGAGAATGAAGTCATGAATTCAAACCTTGACTACATTAGCAGCACAAGCCAAAGGAAGAAATAGATGTGGCACTGCAGCAGTTGCGAGTTCAACTCCAGCGCCCAACTCCAGTAGAAGATCACCTGCAAACCTTAGCTGTAACACAAAAAAAAAAAAAAAAAAAAAA